TGAATCTGGAATGCTTCCGGAAAGGGCTTTTGTTGAATTTAGTTGCAACTATCCTATGACGAACATGGTTTAAAAAATGTGCATAATTTATATTGATAGAGACGTGGTTGGCACGTGCATGGTTACTGATAAAAAAATACAGAGAAAATACAGGAATTACTGTTGCCAGGATATGTTCCTCTTTCCATGTAAAAATCATTTACTGCTCTTAGTTTGTGCAACTTATCTTCAATGTTGCATTTATGACATACTCCCTCCGTTCCAAAAGAGCAGTCACATGTCATTCCATTTTTAGTCCGATGCATGCACGACCCTAGCTAGTCATTCGATAGATTAAATTCCTCCATAACTAAGGAATGTGGGATCCGCCACATGTCGTCCAGAGAACGTCGTGTTGAAGCTGTTCCGGTTCCAAAATACTTATCGTGGTTTTAGTTCAGTTAAACTAAAACGAAGACAAAGGTAGTAATAAATACAGTATTTGCAGACAAGATAAGCACGACCATCCTACTCCCTCCGTCCGAAAATACTTGTTGGGGAAATGGATGTATCTAAACGTATTTTAATTCTAGATACATTCAATTTTATCCATTTTTTTTTGAAACGGAGGCAAAGATTGCCTCATCTATTAATTAAGCAGAAGAGAATTGCCCAGTTAATTACGAAAAACCGGGCAAAAACCGGAACAACAAGGACCAAGCCCACTCCATAGACTGAAACACATAGGGCAAAGCCCACCCTAATCGACGACAAGTCGACCTACGGCCAGACAACGCAGCTCCGACTCTGACGGAGAACTCAGAAGAACAAAACCAGGCACGGCTGGCGCCACGGAAGATCGCCGAACGGGCCACCTGCAGCCAGTCATCGTACACCACAGGGCCCCGCCGCCGCAGCTTCGACTCCACAGCAACAAGCAAACCGAGGCAAAACCGTGGACACGCCGAAGAAGAGTCGACTATCGCAACCATTGCCGCGTCGCCGACATCGCTCCCACCATCATCGTTGCCACAGAAGTCTGGTCGCCCAGAGATTCTCTCGGGACCGCCGCCCCGACATCCACCGCTCCGTCGCGCCCAGCGCAATCAACCGGCACCGCCTTCCGGGGCCGCCGCCCCGACATACCACCGCTCCCCACGAGCAGCAACGCCGCACAACCCAGCTGCCCGCAGCCCACGCTGCTCAGGGCAACCGCTCGCAGACCACGAACGTCGCACCATATCCGGGGCCGCCGCCCCGACATAAAGTCAGACCGCCCCCTCTGGGGCGCATCGACCGAGCCGACACCCCTACCGCCCAAGCGGGACAAGGATGCCACCCAACCAATGTCGAGATAGAGCCCCACCTCATAGAGCCGCCACTCACATTGTTCCCGAGATCGCCATCTCGACGCACAATCAGAAATCACCCGGAGCCGCCGCCCCGACGTCCACTGTCCTCGACGACGAAGAGATCCGTGCAAACTGCAACATGCTGACTCTCCAAGGCGATGCCTCAAAGAAGGAAATGACGTAGCCGCCGTCATCGCCCGCTTCGACCATCCGAAGCTAGGGATTTCTCCCGGAGAGTCGTGTAATGGAGCTCCACAGCAACACCTTCAAGAAGGGGAACGACACCATGACCATGGCGCCGCTGTTGCCGGCACCGACCCAAGGTCAGTGCTGGACTTTCGCCCGGAGCTCCTCCACACCTTCGAATCTGAGCAGATCCGGAGCACTGCACAACACACAATCCCCATGGCCGACGTCCACCGGCTCCACCTGAATCCGAGCAGATCCGAAGCTGTTGCTCCTGCATCTCACAGCGAAGCCGCTCCACCATTCCGCCTGAGCAGCAGCCCCTCACCGCGCCATCGCGCAACCTCCCGCGACAGATCCGCGCCGCCGGACCCCTTGTGCAGCACCTTCCCGTGCAGCAGCACCTCGTCCCAGCTCCTCTCGAGCCCCTCACGCCGCAGAGCAGAGTACCCAAGCACCCGAGGCTGTGGAGCAGAACACCCAAGCAGCAGAGCAGCGCTCGACCACAAATGGCCGCCCGAGCCGCCACGCACGCGCGGCGCGACCTCGCCGCGGCGCCCACGCAGCCCCATGCCTCCTCTCCGGGGCCCGCTCAGATCCGCGCCCTCCGCTCCGTGCGCCCACGCCAACGCCTGCTGCAAGCCGCCGCACGTAGAACCGCGCCAGCCGGCCCCGAAGCGCGCCCGACCCGCCCCTGCGCTACCTCGCCGCGCCGCCTCGAGCTAGCATCGCCGCCGGCCGAGCTCCCGCCGAAGAGGACGGCCCGCGCCGCGCCGCTCCGACCGGAAGGAGGAAAGGGCCCCGCCGCCGCCGAGCCGCACGGGCTTTGCCCGGCGACGCCGTCCGGCGGCAGTGAGGGGAAGCGGGGGAGGTGGGTGCTGCGCTGCTGGCGGCTAGGGTTCGCTCCCGGCCGCCCGCGGGAGCGACCAGGAAGCGCTCTCTCACGGGGATGCAATACGACAAGTATTTTCGGACGGAGGAAGTACATAAATTCCTTGTGAGCGCACGCCAACATCTGATCATGCTCAGGAGCCATTAGCCGGGCGATCACTAGCCAAAAATTCTAACGGGACCATGATGATTTATGAGGACCTGCTGCATGTTCTTCTTGGTCCTTGCCCTTGTGGTTCTATCCTCAGGTACGTTTCCTCCAAACAAATTATTTTCCATGTAGGAGTAATTGTTCTTGTACCTCCTCCATATGATAAAGTCATGGTAAACTTAACCACGTAGCAGATGTATGGTGATCTTCTGATCGATTTTCTCTTCGTTATTATTTGCTCCAGGATCGACCCACAGACGTGGGCAGATGTATGGTGATCTTCTGATCGATTTTCATTTTGTTATTATTTGCTCCAGGATCGACCCACAAGCGTGGGCATGAAGGTGGCGGCGGAGGACTGCGAGGATCTCTAATACAAAGGAGGATGTAACCTCGAAGTGTGCATATGGCGTTGCAACAAACTATGGGGACTTTATACTAAATCAACGACAATTTATATGGATTAGTTGTGTGGACAATGTCACGTGTAAATGCACGGTCTGTCCTTCCCGTCGAGAGAACTGAATCAACCACATGCTGGGAATGGTTTCCAAGTAAAAGTACAGGAATGATGTCACTCATGTGCTACTGGTCGTGAGACCGCAATCCAAAGTAGAACATCTCGAGACCATGTACAATCAATTTCAAAACTGGCAAGCACTGAAAAAAAATGTAGATCTAAGCCAATCCTTTTTACAAACTGTAAGTTCAATTTACAAGCTTCTCCAAGATCATGTAAGTTCAATGTAGATTAACATCTCCAGGATCATGTAGATAAACATCTCGAAGGTCATGTATGTTCAATTTACAAACTGTGGCAAGCACTGAAAACCATGAACCTTCAAGGGTAGAATGTTAGATACATTTGTTTCAAGATTTGTTTTTGTAGATAACTAAGCCAATCTTTTCTGTAACTGAATGAAGCTAGAAGAGAAGACGCACTCAGCTACTGTATTTGGTATTTGCTTACTACATGTAGCATCATCTTCCATTGATGGATAAAGACTATTCTTATGAAAGATTTAACCAAATCTACTGGGTCGTGGCTATTGATTTCCATGCTAGTGCCGCTGTCTTTTGTGCAGCCGGCTGCATGATTTCCATGCTACTTCCTCCGTTCCTAAATACTACTATAAGTCTTTGTACAGTCCACTATGGACCACATACGGATGTATATAGATGCATTTTAAACTTTTGCTCCGTATGTACTCCCTCCGTCCGGAAATACTTGTCATCAAAATGGACAAAAAGGGTTGTATCTAGAACTAAAATACATCCAGATACGTCCCCTTTTATTCATTTTGATGACAAGTATTTCCGGACGGAGGGAGTAGTTCGTAGTGAAATCTATACAAAGACTTATACTCCCTCCGTTCCCAAATACTTGTCTTTCTAGGCATTTCAAATGGACTCAACATACGGATGTATGTAGACATATTTTAAAATGTAGATTCACTCATTTTGCGCCGTATGTAGTCACTTGTTGAAATCTCTAAAAAGACAAGTATTTAGGAACGGAGGGAGTATTTAGGAATGGAGGGGGTAGCGGCTATAGACATGCAGAATTTTCTGAGTGGCCCTCTGCACACCCCCCAGCTGCATGATATAACTAGTTCTAGCACTGCATGCATTCTTCAAGCAGCAGCAAAACAAGAAGTGCAGAAGACGCGTGCCTTCACCGTTCTTCTGGCCATGCTGCAGCTGGACCTGCTGCTCTCATTGGTCTCTCCCGCCACCTCATGCACCGAGCAGGAGAAGCATGCACTTCTCCAGTTCCTCACAGCGCCCTCGCCGCGTCGTGGCGCCATGACCCATGAGACAGGCTGCTGCGAGTAGGAAGGCATCATTTGCAACGAGGGTGGGGTCGTCACCGAGGTCTCCCTGGCATCTAGAGGACTCAAAGGGAGCATCTTGCCGTGCCTTGCCGACCTCACCAGCATGCGGCGTGTCAACCTCTCACACAACTCCTTCTCCAGTGGCCTTCCGATGGAGCTCATGTCGTCCGGAAGCATCATTGTCCTCGATGTCAGCTTCAACCGTCTCAACGGACTGCTGCCCGAGGTGCCATATTTGTCTACCACTGAGCGACCTCTGCAGGTACTCAACGTCTCAAGCAACCAGTTCAGCTCAGATTTTCCATCAGCCACATGGAAGGTGATGAAGAATCTGATCGCGCTCAACGCCAGCAATAACAGCTTCACTGGGCACATGTCGTCTTCTCTTTGCATTGGCTCGCCATCTTTGGCTTTGCTTGACCTCTCTCACAACCAATTGAGTGGCCACGTTCCGAATACACCGGGTAATTGCTCCAAGCTCAAAGTGCTCAAGCTGGCAACAACCACCTAAGTGGGATTCTCCCTGTTGAAATCTTCCACACAACCTCGCTGGAGCACCTCTCCTTCCCCAACAATGGTTTGCAAGGAGAACTTGACGGAGCACACATGGTCAAACTCAGTAATCTAGCAACTCTTGACCTAGGAGGGAACCAGATCAGTGGCAACATCCCACAGTCAATAGATCACTTCAAGAGGCTGGAGGAGCTACATTTGGGTAGCAATAACATGTCTGGGGAGCTGCCATCATCTCTGGGCAACTGTACAAATCTCAAAACCATCGATCTGAAGATCAATAACTTCAGTGGAGATCTAGGAAAGGTAAACTACTCCGCCCTGCAGAATCTAAGAAGTTTAGATTTCATGAGGAGTAATCTCAGTGGCATTATTCCAGAAAGCATTTACTCATGCAGCAATTTGACTGCACTGCGGCTGTCGGCCAACCATTTCCATGGTGAGATCTCACCGAGAATAGGAAATCTGAAGCACCTGCCCTTCCTATCACTTGTTAGAAACTCCTTCATGAACATCACAAAAGCTTCACATGTTCTTAAGAGCTGTAGGAACATCAGCACCCTGCTTATTGGCAAAAACTTTACGAATGAGGCCATGCCACAAGATGAAGCCATTATGGGCTTCCAGTACCTTCAATATCTGTCCATGCACCACTGCTCGTTGACTGGAACGATACCTAATTGGTTGTCAAAGCTCACAAACCTGAAGATACTAAGCTTATTTAGCAATCAACTCACCCGACCAATGCCAAGCTGGATCAACTCCCTAGACCACCTCTTTTGTTTGAATGTATCTAACAACAGTCTTACTTGGGAAATCCCAATCACCTTGATGCAGATGCCAGTGTTAAAATCAGATAATGTTGGCATGTATTCGGAATTGGAACCAAGCCTCCTTGATCCAGGTGTACTTATTTATGGAGCGAATCCATCATGACGTCAATACCGCATAGGCAGTGTTTGGCCCAAAGTGCTGGATCTTGGTAAAAATAATTTCACAGGTGTAATCCCACAAGAGATCGGTTATCTGAAAGCACTCCTTTACCTGAACTTAGGTTTCAGCAACTTCCATGGAGAGATCCCACAATCGATCTGCAACCTCACAAACCTGCAGGGGCTCGACTTGTCTAATAACCATCTCACGGGTGCAATCCCTGTGGCATTGGGATCTTCACTTCCTTTATGATTCAACATTTCTAACAACGACCTAGACGGACCTATTCCAGCAACAGGCCAGCTGAGCACGTTTCAGGCTTTTAGTTTTGACGGGAACCCAAAGCTGTGCGGCTCTGCGCTTACTAATCATTGCAGTTCAGTTAAAGCTGCTACCGTCTCCATCATCTCTGCAAAAGAATACAGCATGAAGGTCATCTTTTCGGTTGCCTTTGGTCTTTTCTTTGGGATAGGGGTGCTATATGACCATTTAGTATTATTCAGATATTTTGGCTAAGCACACTTCAACTGTAATATGGTCTAGTATGTAATGGATAAGGTAAACATGCCTTAGTTATTCACATCTTTGTATCCACCTGCAAGAAGGTCGCTTACTTATATGTCCGTGGAGTCTCTTCTAAATTTGCATATTGTTGCTTGTTGAATAATATAGGTACATGATGTTTGTTTCTCTAGCTAGCAGACTTGTTAAGTGCTGTACAAAATCAGTTACGTACTCAAAATGCAGGATTTTTTTAGAACCAAGAAAAAAATGCAGGATTCTATCAGAGTACAAAGAGGGGGGCCTAGCTACCACCTAGATGGCTGCTGATATAAGAAATGGCCCTCTTGAAAATAACCACTGACAAAGTTTGCAAGATTAATAACTCTTTTGCCTTAACAAAAAAGTAAAGAAGTGTATATA